TATTTTTGACTGGAAAATGCTACAGTAGTTTATTAATAGAGATGCTTTCTTAATGTTTGATTGGTGGGGATAAAAGATTAAGTTAGCAGCTACTATAGATTACAGCTTGAGTCATCTGTGGTCAATGGCGTGTTGAAGATGCCACCGTTTGGGTACAAACTTTCATTTATTTATTATATACTAAAAATATTTTAATTATATTTAAATAAAAACTAATAAAATTTATTATATATATGAAAATAATAATTATTACTCTTAAATAAACCTCAATTCTCTTAAAAAATTATGGGTAATTTTTTCAAACGAAAAGTCGATGTGCTTTTGTATATTTAAATATTTATATGATTTTCAAATGAATCTTCTGCGTCATAAAAGTTTTCTTCTAAGTCACATGTCCTATAAAACTTTTTAGCATAAATAAGTTAAAATTAATATATAAATATTATTTTTTTTTTCGAAATGTTAAAATAGAAAACATTTAAGAATAATGCCTAAGTCATTCGTTAATGGATTTTAACTTGTCTTTTGCCGTACTTAATATATTTACTTATGCTTTGCGGTCCCTTTCCGTCTTACTGCGTGTTCTCCACTTGGCAAAATTGATTAAGGTGCTCATTATCTTCATATTATGAATTGTTTTTCCGGATTTTTTTTTTATTTTCTTTTGACGTAAATCTGTTCTATTATGTAATGTGTTCGTAATCATTTTCATACGTTGAAGCTTTTTAACTAGTTTCGTTCTCGTTCTCTTTTGTATTTGGTTTTTTTTTTTTTGTCTGTTCAATGTTAAGCTTTTCAATTTCTAGTTAGAAAATTGCGAAGGAGAAGAGAAGTCATAGAACGAAAGGTAATTTCCTTGCTGTAGTGAGCGTTATTTTCTAATTCGGCTCTCTTTGAGCTTTTCATTTACTCTTTAATGAATGTCAAGTGCAATTTTCCCCACCCTTTTGGCACAAATCATAAGCTTTTCGCTAATATTTTCAAACGTGTGGCAGTTTGCTGTTATTCATTAGTTCGAAATTTTTCCATAAGCGATTTGGTAGCCGTCCGGTGCAGACCTTTGTCTCAATAGAAGAAGACGATATTGTTTTGGACTTTTGTTCTGTGATAAAATAAATTAAACACATAGTATGTTACGAAACAAATTTATTGATAATTATAATAGAGATAAGAAGATATGGAAATAGAGTGTCATATAAATTGCAATTGCCTTAATTAAATCAAATTAAATTCAAAATTCAAAAGTGCAAATTGTGCTGCTAAATTCAAAAAAGTGAATTTTATTATTAAATCAAATTAATTAATGAAATTACTTAATTCAAAAAATTATAAAAAATTTAAATTTGCAATTGTTGTGTTATGTAAATATAATATAATGTAAAAGTATTTAGTAAATAGCAAAAATATTATTGAAAATTTGTAAATAATGGATGGAAATCATGAAAAAAAGCAGTTATGCAATTCGTGTGCCTGCCTGCGTTGATGTAGTGCGAGGGGTTTGACGCCCCTACAAATAATTCATTTTGCTTTGCATTGTTTTTCGATTAATAGAAAAATAAACTATAATTTTTTACCATAACTGTTATACAATTATAACAATTATTTGATTTTATTACCAAAATATTCCCACCCCACTCACCACACGTGTTTGAAGTTTAACTCAGACTACGTCGAACGGAACTGCGGTAGTGTGTTACGTCACAAACGTAATTGTCTTAACGCCAATCGTTTATTAGATAACTACAAAGTCTAAAACACATAAGAAGAATAGCTAAATATTTTATATATGAAAGATTAACAAAAAATAAAATAAAATTTGATTTCACCTTATCTATTCTAATTTTTTTTTTTTCGTTACCAAGGTTAAGCTACTTTCTTACTGATAAAATTCAGTCATGTGCTCTTTCTTCTGTTCGTTTTTTTTTTTTTGTCTCGTCTTGACTTATGTCAGCTGCTTCAATTTCTCGGTTACGTAAACACATTTCAAACCATTCAATCCATTCATTCTGAATGGCGCTAATTGAATTTAACGAATTTTGTTAAAAATTTTTAGCACATTTATATATTAAAACAAAATAATCTTGCTTGCTGCTGCTCTCTTCCTAAATCAATTACTGCTCTACTATGCTCTGCTCTTTGCTCTTCAACACAAAAAGATTGTTTTATGAATAAATTCTATAAATTCTAAATATAAAACACATGTTCTTGAAAAAATATTCTCATTTTTGTTAATATTTGAAATAAATTCATTTCATTTCTTCTTTTTTTTTTGGCAATGAAATTTGTTTTTTTTTTTGAAATCATTGTATAACATATCTAAGCAAGCAAAAAGAAAAAAAAAATAATTATGCAACTATGACTTCAACAAAATAATATATAAAGTCGAGAGCAATGCATTACATGACATTCGATATAAATATTACCACTTTCAGTTTTTATTTTTTTTTTAATTTAATTATAAATTAATTAATTTATAATTACTCCTCTGTTCTCCTCGAGTGCCATATTGTTACGAACTATTACTATAACCTGTGACTATTAACATTAATTTTGAGAAATTAAATGAACGCTTCTTTAGCCCATTCCCATAAATTTTTTTTTTTTGTCTTCAATTAGTTAAAGTATAATAACGGTAATTTTGTTATTAGAACCAATAGCATAGCCCATTGAGACTTATATAGTAGATAATATGAAAGAAATTATAAACACGAATATATGAATTAGAATATGATTGGATAAAGCAAATGTTAGCAAGAGACTAAAGGTAGGAGATTGTTTGGGAACAAGAGTAGATTAAGGATGAGCGGGAAATATAACTTACTAAAATAGATACATGTTTTATCAATTATCTTATTAAATGAGTGTTATGAGTTTAGTGTTTAAATAGACAATGTTAATAAGTTAAATATGTATCTGCAAACTTTTTGTTTCAGGACCAATTTATGTAACTTATATAAATATGGAAAGTCGATATATATTCCATAAGCATTAATTTTGTCAATTTAAAATAATTTAGTTTCGATATAAGCAAAATCGTAGATATTTAACTATTCTTATGTTTTTACATAAGAAATATAAGAAATGTTTTATATATTCTTATATTTTTAATAGGATAATGATTAAAGTACTCTGAAATCGCTTCAAGTAAACATAAATGAAACTGCATATTAATAAATATAATTTTTATTTCTAGGAAAGATTCCTATATAAGATTTAACAACATTTTCGATGTTTTTCGGCTTTTTCAATCAGGCTGGCTTTTATATTGTAGTTCTTCCCTATATAAAAATTGGCAGCATTTTCGACTCTTTCATAAGGGCGTATGTTATATCGTAGTTCTTTCGTATATACAATTTGTCTTTAACTTTTTTTTTTTTGTCAGACTGGGATGTTACAACATATCGTCTATGACTTTAAAGTTATATTAATAGCTTTTGATTATTATACGGAATTTTTTTGAACGTTTTTGAAAAACTAGATATCGCATAAGCAGAAACTTTAATCTTATTTGAACTTCGATTTCTCCAATTGAAATTAAAGGAAAATAATAACATTTTTCATCAATCAATGAAACTAATTATAACACTTCGCCACTTTTACAGTTATATATAGTTATATATATATCCACATGTATATATAATGTAATTATAGCATAAAATTAATTCTAAATTTTAAATTTGCAACTTTTGTTGCTAAGTACGTAAAATACATAGACAGTTCTCGTGCTCGTATTTCTGTTGTTTATATGAAGGTCTAGACATGTTTATTAAGCCGCCGACACGTTAGCAAGCTATAAAATCCTCTCTTAGAGATTTTTATTTCATTTTGTTTATGCATTCTCGTTTTTGTGCTTCTTTTTATAATTTTTAGGTATTTAAATGGAAACAAATAAAAACTAAAAAAAATATTTATAAACTCTTGTTGCTAAGAGAAGCAAAATTAAAGCAAATAAATCTTATCCATGAAAAAGAAATTTTAATTCTAATTGTCAAAAGCGCCTGAGTTTACTTGTATGAAGCGGCTGAGTTTACAGTATGAACCTGCATTTTAAATATATAATTAATTATTTTAGAAACAAGTTATTAACATTAAATTACTTGTATTTTCCATATAAATTTGTATGTACTTAATAAATATAATATATATAAATTAATTCAATTCTTATTGACCGTTTAACCCTTTAAGTTCAAATAAATTTTATATTGCCGATTATCTTAGATTCTGACTGTTAGCATAAACTATGGTTTTGTTTCAGATATCAGATATATATTACCATTATTTTTTTACTTCTTAACTGTGTGGTCTTCACTTTTCTGTGATAGCCCCACGTCAATATATTTATAAGTCAGTCTTTCCAATTGAAATAATAAATTTTTATAATTTACCGTGTTCTTAATAGAAAGTTCTTTGGTATAGTATTAAATTACAACAGCAATACTCTTATTTTTAAATACATATTTTGACTTTTGGCTGACCGTACCGCGGTTTCAATAGTGCCAAAACCCATAATCAGTGGGCTTTTTGGAAACACTATATATTATGCTGTTACGATTTTTTGAAAATTAAAAATAAAAAAAATTACATAAATTTGAATAATTTAAAATTTAATTAAAAAATTTAAAAAAGAAATAAAATAAAAAATAAAATAAAAAAAAATAATTTAAAAATTTTATTTTATATATATATTTATATATAAATTTTATATATATTATTTTATTGAAAAATATTAGTCATTTTTGTTTTTATGCGGTTTATTTTAATAAATAATTATTTTTTTTTTTTTAAACGGTTCAGTATTAAACTGATCAAAAACTGAAAACATGTTATACGCCAGCTAGCACTGCAATGACTAATCTCAAAAACCACATCTTTAAATATTACTAAAGTAGTTGCAAAAATATTAAAATTATTTATTATATACAATTTGTATAATTTAAGTATAAAATTGAGTCCAAAACTATTTTACAAATTCTAACGCATATTTTTGGTGTTTATTTTAGAAAAATGGGTAAAGATTTCGATGCCGCTGGTTTTGTTAAAGATTTCGCTGCTGGTGGTATTTCCGCAGCTGTCTCAAAGACTGCCGTTGCCCCAATTGAGCGTGTGAAATTGCTTTTGCAAGTTCAACACATCTCAAAACAAATCAGCCCCGATAAGCAATATAAGGGTATGGTTGATTGCTTTGTCCGCATTCCAAAAGAACAAGGTTTTGCATCATACTGGCGTGGTAATTTAGCCAACGTTATCAGATATTTCCCAACCCAGGCTTTGAACTTCGCTTTCAAGGATAAATACAAGCAAGTAAGTTTAATATAGTTATAGTTTTATTGCGATTTTTGTTGATTAATGTGATTATATTTAATGTGTATTAGGTTTTCTTGGGTGGTGTTGATAAAAACACTCAATTCTGGCGTTACTTTATGGGTAACTTGGCCTCTGGTGGTGCTGCTGGTGCAACTTCACTCTGCTTTGTATATCCATTGGACTTCGCCCGTACTCGGTAAGTTTGTGCATTAACATGAAAAAAATCAGCTATAAGTCAGTTATAAAATGTATATTTATACTATAGTTTAGCCGCTGATACTGGTAAGGGAGGTGCCCGCGAATTTACCGGTCTTGGTAATTGCTTGGCTAAGATTTTCAAGAGTGACGGTATTGTTGGTTTGTACCGCGGCTTTGGTGTATCTGTACAGGGTATCATTATCTACCGTGCTGCCTACTTCGGATTCTACGATACTGCTCGTGGTATGTTACCAGATCCAAAGAACACACCAATCTACATCAGCTGGGCTATTGCTCAAGTTGTTACAACTGTTGCTGGTATTGTATCCTATCCATTCGATACTGTACGTCGTCGCATGATGATGCAGTCTGGCCGTAAAGCTACCGAAATCGTCTACAAGAACACATTACACTGCTGGGCCACAATTGCAAAACAAGAAGGTGGTGGTGCCTTCTTCAAGGGTGCATTCTCCAACGTGCTCAGAGGTACTGGTGGTGCTTTCGTGCTTGTACTCTATGATGAAATCAAGAAATTAATGTAAATCAAATCACTACAATACTGCTAAACAAATATTTAATTTAAACAAATACCATTAATAAATTAAATTAAGATAAAAAATTGTAATTTAAATTGTAAGAGCCACGTTTAAATAATTTGTGTAACATCATAACAGACAGGACATATAAACAACCAACAAATAGATCATGTTGACCCCTAAAGATAACAACAGTTAAAATAATACAAAACTTAATAAAAATAGTAAATAATTTTTTCATTTTAATTTGAGGATGAGCCTAATAACGAAAGAAACAATTTTCTTAATAGAAAATATATGCTATATAAAATTGACCATTTGGAAATGTTTTATAAGGTTTCCAATTCATTGTGATATAACTATGGTTACATATTTTCGATATATCAATGCATTATTCGCAGTTCCTGTTGAAGTTTAATACAAAGCTAGATCAAACAAACAAAAATTTGCAGTTATTAACGAATTGAGTAAAGAAATAGTGAAAACAAGGTTTCAACAAATTCCTGTATATTAATGGCTAAATAAGGAATATTTCTCCTATATGTACATTCATATAAACTAAAATCTATAATAAAAAGATATTAAAGTTTTATGCTCGGATTATTCTGGTAACACATTTCTGGGTTAGTCCCAATTATATAGTTTACAATTAGATGAAGTGCAGTGCATGACATTAACGCACTCTCCAAGTTAAGGAGAGCGTACTGTATTTCATATGTTTACCCACCTTCAATTGAAAGTTAGTTCCAAATTTGAATGATTACACAAGCCAAATTAAGACTAAAGCAACATTTGATTGGTGCTCTTATTGAACTGTTACAAAATGTTATTAACAAGTCTAAAGATCTCTACGGCATGTAACGTAAGCATCGAAGACAAATATGGAAAAAAATGGTCGTCTTGTTGGTAAAGCAATGCACACATACAAATGTCCAGCCAATGAGGGAATATGGAACAACGACCTGCCCTAAAAATGCGTTCTTAGTAATATTTTATAATGTAAATCAGGTTTATCGAATGGATTATAGTAAATATTAATAACTGATGCAGAAGGTATGGGCTGGTTCACGAGCAAGCAGTCTTGTGCAACAATTGATAACAGATTCCCGATTGAGATTTCTTTAAGCAAATGATTTACTAACAGATATTGGAATGGAACATCATTTGTCTTATTTTTGTTTGCTCATCAGTTTTTATAGGGTGGTGTTAAAATGATAACACTGGTCAACAAAGATTTTATCCTAGAGACGTTGTTAAGAGATCCTAGACGTGTTTTTCGTGCTGATTCCGAATCTGTATTTAGATTCTTTCTATCACGTCTAGATTCTTCAAAACAGTTGAATGTATATTTTTGCTATAAAGTCGTAATTTACCTACTGCTCAAAAAGTATCCGGATTTTGTTGTTTGTTAACTACTTTTTAAGTAATAGACCTTTTTCAAAAATTTTGTTATGTTGGTACACCCTTTCTTGACATATGACACAAATTTCAGCGCCATCTGACAATTAGTTTGTTTACAGCAGCTGTTAATGTGAGACTACCTCAAGTGCATTTAGCGATTTTTACTATGGAAAATTCTTGTTGTACGCGATTTTTTGACCAAACACGGCACCACTGTCATCGCTCAGGCACCATATTCACCAGATCTGGATCCGTGCGAGTTTTTTCTGTTCCCGAAACTCAAATTGCCCCTTCGTGGTAAGCGTTTTGAGTCGATTGAATCGGTAAAGAAAATTCGCCGAAGGAACTAAAAGCCATACCTTCACGGGCCTTTGAAAAGTGTATGAAAGATTGGGTTAAGCGTTGGGTATTTTCTTTATATATGATATATATAGTATACATTATTTTCGGGATGTAAATATATGTATATAAATAACGTGGTTAATAAATATGTATAAATAATAATATTACGAATTAATAAATCTGATGGACCTCATCTTATAACGCAAGACGATTTAAACGATCTAGTGCGCGATTTAAAGTTGTGCAAAAAGAAGAGTGAAATCTTAGGATCACGATTAAAGGGTTGGAAATTGTTGGATCCAAAAACTAAAATTTCTATGTATCGATCTCGCCATGACGAATTTAAATTATTCTTTTCTCAAGAAAACAACCTTATTTTTTGCAATGATGTTCTATCTGTTATGGATACTCTTAATTTTGAATACAACGATGATGATTGGCGTTTGTTCATTGATTCTTCTAAGGTCAGTTTAAAGGTTGTTCTCTTACATAATGGAAATGAAATTCCCTCAATACCGTTAGCCCATGGAACTGATATGAAAGAAACTTACGAGAATATGCAGTTTTTCTGAAAAAAATTCAATACGAAAGATATAAGTGGAAAATTTGTGGTGACCTAAAAGTTATTGCAATTTTACTAGGCTTACAACTTGGTTACACGAAATATTGTTGCTTCATCTGCGAGTGGGATAGCAGAGACAGAAAATTGCATTAGTTGAAAAAAGATTGGCCACATGGTAAGGCACTCGTTCCTGGAATCAAAAATATCGTCTTCCAGCCTTTGGTCGTTCCTAAAAATATTCTTTTACCACCTCTGCACATTAAATTAGGACTTTTTAACAATTTTGTTAAGGCCATGGATAAAAATGGTGGTGGTTTTACTTATTTGAAGCAAAAATTTCCTAAAATAAGTGAGGCAAAGATTAAGGAAGGTATTTTTATTGGGCCACAGATTAGAGAACTGCTGAAGGACTCGGAATTTCAACAGCAATTGAGTTCAACAGAAATTAACGCGTGGAACTCATTCAAAAATGTAGTTGAGCATTTTTTAGGAAATATGTTAGCTGAAAATTATCGCGATCTGGTGGCTAATCTAATTGATTCATACCAAAAAATGGGCTGCAATATGTCTTTAAAACTTCACTTCGTACACTCTCACCTGGACTTTTTTCCACCAAATCTTGGCGCCGTTAGTGATGAACATGGTGAGCGTTTTCACCAGGATATTTTACACATGGAAAAACGCCACAAAGGAAATTTCACTAACATGTTAGCAGATTACTGCTGGACACTAAAAAGGGACTTACCAGATGCTCAATATGCGAGAAAAACATAAGTAAGTACCATTTTTTAAATTCACGATTTATTTGCTGAAACCCCTTGAATCACCCATTAATCTGGTTGTCTAAAGAAAACTAGACGTGATAGAAAAAATCTAAGTCCAGATTTGGAATCAGCACGCAAAATACCTCTAGGATCACTCAATAACATATCTAGGATAAAAAAAAAATTTTTTTTTGTTGACCTGTGTAATATAAACAAATTGTTAAAATATAAAAGGTAATTTTCATATACAAAGTTGTTTAAGTGCTTCTATCTATCCGGCTTACAAGCTGCGACCATTAATGTATGTCATAGCAAAACAATTTTTATTATAATTGTATAATAAAATGTAGAAATGTGTAATGTAGTACACATTTTTTTCCATAAATTAAGTTGAATTTTGTAAATGAATACATTGTTTAACGTATACACGGCAGACATCCCCACTTTAAGTCCCACGTCAATGGCGCTTTACGCAGACGACACGTGCTTGATCTACTCGGATCGAGATGCCATAAATGTAAGCAACACTTTACAGGGAAATATAGACCTTATGGTGAAATACTTCCAAAAATGGAAGATTAAAATTAATAATGACAAAACCAAGGCTATATTTATAACTCGAA